ATAGCATTGGTTATATCTCATCAACTGTTTGCCACTTTCAAGGCTATGAATATGTGTCAGAACACATATGATTAAAAATATCTAAGGCAGTTTGGAAGTTAGAAAAATTTCTTGTGGTTAGAGGCTGAATATAGCCAACACAAAAGACTGGTTTAGTCAGATTCTAAGAGAATGTGTACTCCATTCAAAACTATCATGAGAACAGAAACATAATGGTAAGATATGAAAGTGTCACTAGGGTTATACTTTTAATGTTAAAATTAAATTCTAGCCTCAAAGCATACAATGCCTCTTTTGATATAATCCAAGTTCCTTGTTATATTCTAACTCACATCCCATGTCTTCTGTTGATCATTTCATTTGCTTTCTTAGTTATCTAAACACATTTTTTCAAGTTCCCCCAACATCTCTACATACAGTCATTTTACTTCTCTCTAATGTTCTCTCATCTCTCTGTGCACACACTAACCTTCCATTTATTAATTTAGACTCTCCACATTCTTTTTCTTTGGTTTCTCATTTGACTTTTTACTTTTCTGCATATGTGGGTACATGAAGACATGGGGCATATTTTGCTAAAAATAATATCATCTGTACGTCTTTTCCTTGGACGTTTTCTAATCTGGGAAAAGTTTGATATTACTTTAACATTTCAAACATTTTATATGTATCAAGTATAATAGTCGTTAGTTCTTTGGCCTCATTCTAATCTACCAATTCGAAACTTCTTCCAGTATCAGAGAAAAGGGACAAAAGCCAACACTGGAGGTAATAAGAACCTTCTCAAAAAGCAGGGGAACTATCAAAGATATACTCTGATCTCTACTCAGCCTGATCACAGAACGACTTCCACTCTGTACTCCTAATTCTTCCACTCATAACCAGACAGACGTACCTTTGACAGATGTGTGTGATGGAAACACTTTGCTGTCTTATCAATAAACTTTATTCTGTCTAACTGTCCTGTATAGATTTGTCAAAGCAGATTTATCTGTTGGAGTATAAATTCCTAAATGGCTATAAACACAATCTGGAGACCTAGTATATAGTTTTAGCTAGTAACTAGCTGTGTGATCTTTTTTTTTAAAGTTGTACAATGTTTTCCTCAGGTCTCCTTTAGACTCAACACAGTATGATTATATGGGAATTACTGTATCTATGAAATTATTTTTGTACACTACCCAGTACACAGAGTGGGTACTTCATTGTCAAGGGTCTATCCATCTTTCAAGACTCAATTCATGTGGCTCCTTCTTTTAGCTTTCCTTGGCCATCCTAAATAGACAATCTTATTTCTCTCAATGTTTATAGATGTCATTGTTTATACTACATATGTAAAGCTTATGTATCATGTTGTATTACTATACTATGTTATGTAATTACTTTAATTCATGTGTTATAACCTCTACCTGACAGTAAAGTCCCAGAAGACATATTCATCTCTATAGCCCCATCTCAGATAATGCCTTGTTCTGATATATTTAATAAATTTTTATTGAACCAACTAAACCGTTTTTCTAAACATATAACCAGAAGAAGCTTTACACATCAAATACTGACATAACCATTCTCATTTGTAATTTTTTTGGGGGGAGGCAGAAAATAATTTAGGTAAACTAATCAGGCAATAAAGAGTTTTTTTAGGAATCTTAGATGCTAAAATAGTGAATTTAGGAACATAAACTGAACCAGAACTGCCACTTTCCCAAATCCTACTAAATAACCATATATGTATGTGAAGTGTAATAAAGATGGGTATTTGGGGCCGGCCGAGTGGCTCAGTTGGTTAAGAGCTTGCTCAAGAATGCGAGCTCTGAGCAACAGTGGTTCGATTCCCAGCCCGAGCTGAGCTGCTGCTGAGCTGCCAACAGGTGGCAGGATGGCTCAGCTAAAAGAAAAAAAAAGGAAAGAAATGGGTATTTAGAGGAAGACTGGGAGGGAAAAGCTGAAGAGAAGATGCTGTTGAAATGACAAGGACAAAATTTGGGTACAGAGTCTGCTAGTGTGAAGGCCATTTGCTGGAAGTCTCTGAATCTCCTACTTTTAAGTTGGACCCTCCTTCTTATCCAATAGCTACATGCTTACACAAAATATTTGCAGCTCAGTTATAAACTTTTCATAAAATTCAAGAGATTCACACAATAAGAAGAGCTGGCTGTGTTTGCTCGTAAATCTGTTTGTGTCAGTGATACTGGCAGTAATTACATGATTTGGCTAAATAGTACATTAAAAAAATGATGAAAAGTGAGCAAAAAAATGAGAGTTGTTTCTATGAGAACCAAGTGGATGCTTTGGAAAGCTCAATAAAAGAGTTGCTAAAAATGCTGATAACTAGATGTAGGTCAATTATGTAAGACTGGAGGAAATCTTAAAAATCTCTAAGGATTATACAACTTCATTGCTTCACAAGCATCTAGTTTAATTCTTCTTTAAAGAAATCAAATGAATATTTGTCCTTAAAGAAACCAATTATAGGTACGGTTTATGCAAGAAAGAGGATTCATATTTAAAAATAAAACAATGGCTCTATATCACAAAAGTGGTGAACAAATGTAAAGTGTATGCATGCAATGCTTAAGGGCATGTGTATCATTTTTTATACTTAGGGCTCTAGTAAAGCTCTCTTTTCACCATGTACAAATTACCAATACAGACTGCTTCAAGAGGGTTTCTTCTAAATTTCATAAATATCTTACTTAAGAAGATCTTGTTGAAGTGTCACATAACTTCAGTGTTGTAGACAAGGCATATGTATTCATATTACACAATTTTATGGAAGATAAATTAATACAAAGGTCATAGCAGACTGAAAATAAACGAAGTCAAAAATGTAATCCTAACAGCAACTATTCAGTATTGCTTAATCAGTGCTTATGAAAACATAGCTATATGTTTCTCAATCTAAAATACTTTCACTATTACAATTTGTATCACAGTCTACTACATTACATTATTTTGTTAGTGTACATGAGAAAAACCGATCTTATGTCCTCAAAGCAGAATTAAAATATCTAGTATTTGCTTCAAAAAAGGAAAATTGTCTAATCTTTTCTTCTTGGTGTAATGCATTTATCAGGAAGAAATCATTAGACCAAAATTTAAAATTAGGTTTACATAGGTTTTTAAAACCAATTGCCTTGCATCTCAAAACTGAAAGGCAACAGGTATCACCATGTAATTAAAAACTTTAAAATTCAAACTGATCTAACAGTTTAAGAAAGCAGTTTCTAAAGAGACTAATGCATTTTTGTAAAATTCCTTATTTTTGTAAATGTCCTACAAATTTATGGTGAGGCAAAACACTTAATCTGCTTGGTCTATACCACAAGCAGGTAATGTAAAATAATCACTTGTAAATCTAAGGCATTGTAATATATTGGTTCTATTTTTGCAAACTACCTTGCATGCTAACCAAGAAACATGTTAATTTTACTAAATAAACTGTTTCAAGGGCCGGCTGAGTGGCTCAGTTGGTTAAGAGCTCGCTCAAGAGTTTGAGCTCTGAGCAACAGCGGTTCGAGTCAGCCCGATCTGAGCAGCCGTGAGCTGCCAACAGGTGGCGGGATGGCTCAGCTAAAAACAAAACAAAACAAAACAAAAATGTTTCAAATGACTTACATTAAAATTATAAAGTGTTTCAGATTGATCTTTTACATGATATTCCATTTATACTGTCTCTTGACTATACCTTTAAATTCATCTATACTTTGGTTTGCCTATTGCACAGATTCTAAAGCTGGCAAAAAAAAAAATCACTCAAAACACGTAAGAAAATATGTCTTAAAATATTTTTCTGTCACATCTTCTCATAAACATACCAGTATGACAAATATACTTTCCCTCTCTCTTATTTACTCTTACATATATACAAGGATTGTGGGTTTTTATTTAAATAAACAATATAATATGCTAAATAACTTAAAAACAAAAGTTTTAAAATTACCAAAATACTCCAATTTTCTCTCTTATGGTAAGCAAAATATATGATTTTGTAAGTAATAACTATTAAGATGAACTATTTTGATGTAAGAACTGGTAAATAATTTCTCAAAGGCTAAAAAGAAACACATTAGTGATCTTCATTTCATTTTCCTTTCAAATAAAAAATTTTTGTTCTGAGAGGCAAAAGGAGAATCAAATGCAGAAGCTGGAGTCATTCATTGCCTTAAACAATTAGGAAAAACAGCTCTTAAAAAAGTGGGTAGAACTGAGTAGAAATTATCTGGCTCTCTAGCTGTTTTTAAACATTTATTTTCTGAAATGAAACATTTCTTCTCCAAAATTACAACCCCAAAAAACCTCTAAATTTGTACACCAAACTTTTACATATACTTTCAAATATTATGTTTATGTGTGGGGAATTTTCTAACCAGATGCAATAATTAAAATTAACAAAGCAGTGTTTTAGTAAAACACTGCTTTGTTATGTTAAATATAAAAACAACAGAAATTGCCATATAAATATGACATGTACCCATATTCTATTGTGATCAAGACTAGCTAGCAAAGAAATTTTGATTGCCAGTATAAGACAGTGTCCTCACTCCACTTAGTTACAAATAAAATAGAAAACTATATTTTTGCATAATTAAAAACATGCTTATGTAAAGTTCTTTTTTTACACTATGTATTTAAATGCTATTAAAATAACGGGTGACAAGCTATTTGAGTCCCACTTTTTATTTTTATTTTTTTACTGACTATGGCTTAACTGATAACAGCTAATTAAATTTTTATTGCTTTTATATCTGTCCTAAAGATAGTATTTTCCCCTTTTTTCCAGCGTCTTGGAATTCTAAGGTGTCCTAAAAGCAATGTTAGATACCTAAATAATTTTAGAACTATTCTAAATTAGGTTTACACTTACAAAAACACTATTCAATCAGCATTAAGAAGCATTCACTGTATACCAGCATTCAGAGAGCAGACACGGGCATAAATTATTTCATGAATAATTAAAATGAAGGCATCTAATATTAAATGAAAGAGGTACATTTTACCTGGATAAGATGAGGCAATGCTTTTAGTGTAAGGCAAAACCAAATCCCCAGCTTGCATGGAAGCAAATCATGCCATTGTGGTTTCATAAGCAATCTAAAGGGAAAACAAAAGCAAAGAAGCAAAATAGAGCAAGTTGGGAGACAAAATATTTTTATAAAAATCATGCTTTCTGTTTAGAATGGCATTTCAACAAAAGAAGAAATTTTTCAATGAAATATTTATGACAGTTATCATTTATTCTGACTTGTTCTATCATGAAATACAGTAGTTACAACAAATGCAATATGTATAGCAAGTAAGAGAAGGCTTAAGATTTGGGGTAAGGAGGCTCCTAATCAAGTTATAAAGACAAAGAAACAAAAGCCTTCTTTCTAACCCAGACTTTTCATCAGTTCTGCGAAATGAATTCTTAACCTTATGATTACTTCAGCTATAAAAGACTAAACATCATCAGAGTGTTCCCAAGTGCTGACAAGCAGATATGAAGACTGGAGCATAAACAAACCAATATATAAAAATTAATGTCATTTGCAGTTCACTGAAGCATTACTCACTGATGTCATCAGACTAGAAGACAGGCAGAATAGTCTCTGATCTCCATCTCACATTGGTCCAGCTCCTGTCCTGCTGTGTGAACTATTTAAACCCTTTATTTCTTTCTATGAATCGATAGAAGAAATGGTGGTATCTTTTTGAGTTCACTGCATGTCACTGCCTCTGCACATATTGTCACTCCTGAGCTAAACACTAAAGTGACAGCTTGGTCTAGTAATACTTTGTTTCTAAAGTTCAGTATTACAAATTTCAAACTACAAGAACTTGGGGTTTTAATTACTTAAATATATATTAACACTTCACTGAGGAAGAAAATTGTAGAACTTTGCTGAAGATGAGAATTTGTCTCAGAAACTAACATGGCACACTATTAGCCTTTTATAAACCTTCTACAGATGTGTTAGCATATCTGAATGGATACCATATGAGGTTGAATCACATTAAAGAAATATTTTTAAACAGTTTCAAATTATAAAATATTCTTTATATGTTCCCACCTTTCATTTTTTTCTGAAGCACCAAGTTTTGACATATCCCCACTCTTGCCGCCCGTCTTTTTTTTCTTTTCTCTCTTTTTTCTACTAAGCAGTTCATCCTTAATGTGGAAAGAATTAAGGTTACAGGTTATCATTAACATGTACTCTTCAAATGTTATCAAGAGTCTTCTGTGAAGGGTAAATATTATAGAGGAACATTTATGCAAATGTATGTAGGGTCCAACATGATTAAGTAAAATCATCAATCTTTAACAATAAGTGTTGCCATGGTATCCAGTCCTTAAACACACATGAAGTTTAGCACTGTCAGTCATGTGTATCTCCATAGTAATCAAAGTTTTCTAAGAGAAAGCATTCAACTTACTTTTTCTCATTCATCCAACTTTAATAATGTCACTTCAAAAAGAATGAGTAAACAGATGCTAATTCATGAATACTGATAAATAAGTTTGATTATCTTTAGCATATAAATAAACATCCATAGCAGAATAAACTATGTAATAGTTTATTAGAAAAATGTAATCATTTTTTAACCAACTGATCTCTGGAATTATAAAGTTAAACTCATTTCAAGTCTTAGTTAAAAACTTTTAAACATTCTTTAGATAAGGGCCTGTGACACAAACATTTCTAAAATCGTTTTTACATAAAAAGATTTCTATTTGGAAGGTGATAATTAAGAAAATACGGCTCTACCTTTTAATTTCCAGCTAGATATTTGGGCCTTCACAAAATCTTTTAACAAACTCAAATGCCACATTTTTAAAAGGAAGGATATTTTCTTATGTCATGGGTTCTTCTTGACTTAGAAGCATATCAAACAATAAATACTGAACACAAAACTATTGGAATGAGGAGTATATACAGAAAAATTGAAAATTTCATCAATTGAAAAATAAATGTCTGAAATTCCATATGAAATTAAGGAGGCTAGATCATTTGATTTATTACCAACACTTACCAGTTGTTTTTCCAGGTAGATTGACCAAACCACAGCATAATGACCCACTGTGAGAATAATGAACAAAAGTAATGCCAGCTCAGCATTGCTCATTTTTCTCACTCGCCTGTAGTAGAATACAGGCTGTCGCCAATCTGGAAGTCCATTGATCAGAATATCATCATACCTACAGTAGCAAATATAACAGTTTTTCATGGGGAATTTGAAATTTAAAAAAACCTTTATTTGTATCTATATTTAAAAAGAGGACAAAGTAAAGAATTTCTCCAAAATAGATACCATGTAGATTATCAGCATTACAATGGCCTATAAATTAAAAACACTGTATGTAGGTCCAGTCACAGACAACCTTCAAAAAGGTATACAGTAATATACTGTGGATACCACATCTTGTGGTTTTACACAAGCACCCCAATGATGTGACTTCTGGAATGACATCTAAGTTAAATGAGCCATATAGTCTCATATAGTCTACCTCTCTGTCACAGTCGGCAGTAAAGACCCCATCACAGAAGTCAGCAACAAAAGGGAGGACCTCAATGGCAGGAAAATCAAGATAAGAGCTCTATTTGTTACCATGAATTATCCACTAATTCAATCAAATTCAGGATACATTTTCTAGTCCGTGCTTTTCTTTCTACTCCTGTACCATAATATAATATGGTTCAAGGTTAAAATATTTCTACATATATAAATTATTTTATCAAAGCTTCTTAATGATGTAAAAGCCTATAAAATGAGCATCTTTAATTTTGTCTTGCTCACATTCCTTTAGAGAATAAATCAGAAAGAGATGTGGAAACAACCATTGTTTATGTCAGATTTCTCAATAAAACTATTTATAAACATTTAAGTGGGAATTTCCTCATTTTTGGCTTTGCTGGAAGGAGAGAGCATAACAAATAAAAGCCATCCTAGCAATGCATTTTAAATCAGCTTTCTTTACAATAAAATTTCAATTGAATTTAAATTTACCTGTCAGTTATTGAGGCAAATATTTTTAAGGTTAAAAATCAGGAATAACATTGTAAAACTCAAAATGGTCACAAACATACACTATATGTTCAAAACACACAACCTGTTAATCTTAATTGAACTCAACTCATTAAATATTCTAATCACACTATTTCCAGAATTAAATCTTCACTGAAAGGCCTAATTTGGTGCAACACATTGACCAAAATATTTTAATTAAAAATATTCTGAGTTAGTCGCAGGCCTAATTACAGGAATAGAAATAGGGCCTATATTGTCAGGCAGGTCAGTAGAACTCAGTAGTAGGTTTTTCTCAAGTAAATTGACCGATCTAGGAATAATAGCGCAGCTGCTAAACTGCCAGTCTTGACATGTAAATCAATTTAAATGCAACAACTGCAGTAGCTACTTTGATAGTTATTAAATTGATACCTTGGAGATATGCTTAAAAAAATAAAGCAGAGGATTTATTACAGGCAACTTCTTTTTTCAATAAAAAAACACTGGTTACAAATTCAAAATATATTTTATTAGCGAATCTAGAAAATCTGACTTCTAGATCAATTTAGATTATTAATAATAATGGCAGATCAGAATAACCAATGTTCAAAGCAAAGGACATTAATTACTACTGAACTCTTAAAAGGCAAATTGTGTGGTGTATGAGTCTACAAATTAAAATATGGTTGTGGCTGGACTAAAAAAATTTTCCTGTTAAATATTCTTTTATTTCTAATATTTATAAGCAACACTAATATTGAAATATAATAATATGACTTCATCCAAAGCTATCATTCCTATCATCGAAAATTTATATTTAAATCTACCTTTGTAAAAACTGACTCATTTTAAATTAGAAATGGATTGGTAAAAAAAGGTTTCAAGTGGTATAATGCAAGATTACAACATTCGAATGAAGTCCAACGAATGATAAGTCCTGAATTTATTTTAAACCTATAGTCTACTTCAGATTTGTTGAGGGGGAAAAAAAAAAGGTGATTATAAAGATCATTATTTTCAGCTAATCTCTCCATGAAATAACTTCATGTAAAAAGTATGGTTATTAATAAAGAACACCTAAGAAAGTGGCAACAACTACTCACAAGCATTACTAATTATTAAATTTGTTTTAGATCTAAGTGTAATGGAAGACAATATAGCTGAACTCATATTATGAGTGTCACATCAAATATTTTATCACCATCATTGTTGAAATGCTATGTTTCTGTTAACTATTTTCTACTGCACAGATAAACTGTATTTAGTGTACAGCCAAATTCAAGATAGCAAAACTTCATGCACTGAACACTTTAAACAGAGCTATATAGATATTTACTAGGCTATGTCTGCCACTCTAAACAACAGTCTCCAAGGATTAAGCTTAGAATCAATGCTCTATTGATTTTACTATCAATGAACATTATGGCTCACACGACTGGCCATTTTAAGGGAAGATAGCTTCTATTATAGTTCGCTTTTTAGAATATATGCTGTTAAAAGATAAATCACTGCTTTCCTGAAACACTGAAAAAATACTTTTAAAAAGATATACAGACACTATATTCATAAGTAGTTTAAGAAAAAATGTGTTGATAACATAAAATTTAAAACATCACTGCTAGCTTTTCTATATTTAACACATAATGCTGTTAAAATGTTCTGTAATTGAGCTCATACAAACTGCTCTGAACAATTTGTTAAAACCAGCTTAGGAATGTACACATGTATGAATGTGTTCTAAGAAAATACAAAAGTGAACCTCTATGATGAAAATATGACTAATGCAAAGAATCATATGAAACTATATAGGCATTATCTTGGAAATTAAAATATTAACTGATTGATTCCACATATCCAACATATGGCCTAATATATGTTTACTTTGATTTTCTTAAAATGTACATGATGAACATATAACAACAGTTACATAATCATTAGTGAGTTCCAGTCATCAAACATATTTAGCCTAATATAAACACTGGAACACTGGAAAGCAAATAAATCTAAAAATGTTTTAAATTACCAGAAGAAAAAATGTATGTAAATTTAAAACATCATAGTTTGAAATATAAAATAGTAAATATGAAGCTAAAACAGAAAACATACATATTATGAAAATGAATATTTAAATAATGATAGCATTTGCCTATAAATTGTTAATTTACCAGCATACAAAGTTTGAATTTTTAGCTTAAAATGATAATAGCAACATCCATTTAGGCCACATTTTGAACCTTAAGAGTAAAAATTAATTGTACAAAGATCATAATCAGAAAAGAAGTCTAAATTAATTGATCTCACTCTCCTTTATAACATGTATATACATATATACATATATATGCCAAAAACTGTAGTACACAGTACTTTACATATTGTATATAATAGGTATATTGTATCTCCTAATTGAGGAAGTCACTAAGATTTCTTATTCTCAGGTTTATGTTTATTTTTATTCTAACACATCTGTAATCACATTTACAATAACTAGGTAATGAATTTGTAAAAGTTTAGCAGAGTAAGGCTGACATAACTATTTTTCATCATTGAATTTGTAAATAAAACATGATTTTATTAAACTAAAAAAATACTTTCACAACTTTTAGAAAGATGGTACCATAAAAAAGACCAACCTCCCCCCCTAAATTTAAAGTTGCACAACTGGGTTAGCAAAAGAATATTGGTTAAAATTTACAATAGGATTTAAACAAAAGTAAATATATTAGTATTACTAAAACACAATCTAGTGTATATATGTAATGACTGGTATCTATCTACTCAGTACTTTATTTCAGCTAATACTCAGGGAACCTGTATAGAAATTTATGTCAGAAAATAGCTGAGCTGCCACTCCCCCCAAAATGCAAGCTGTCTAAGGAGTTTAGAAAAGGCTGGTATGCTAGGCTTCCTTCCACTAACCAGGAGAATTTGTTATTTTTACGCTATAGTCTATGTCTTTGGGAGGAAAAAATAGGCTTAAGAGTTTATTTACAATGTTCTCCTAGGAATCTACCCAACATAAATGAAAACACCTGTTCACTCATAGACTTGTATGTAAATATTCATGGCAGCATTGTTCATTATAGCCCCAAAGTAGAAACAACCTAAATGTCTACCAGTTGGTGAAAGGATAAACAAAAACGGTATATGGAATACTATTCAGCAATAAATAAGAATGAACTACTGGTATATGTGACAATATGGAAGTATCTCAAAAACATAATAATAGAAGACATATGCAAAAGACTACATATTACATGATTTCATTAATATGAAATGTCCAGAAAAGAAAAATTTATAGATACAAAAAGATCAGTGATTGCCTAGGGCTGGGATCACAGTGGGGAATGCCTATAAATGAGCTTGAGGAAGTGTTTTTGAGGTAATGGAAATGTTCTAAAACTGGATTATGGTGGTTTACACAACTCTGTAAATTCACTAAAAATCACTGAACTGTATGTATACTTAAAATAGGTGACTTTCATGGTACACAAATTAAACCTAAATAAGGCTGTTTAAAAAATAAATTAAATTTGCCTTTTCCTTAAAAAAGTAAAAGGTTATCCAGTTTATTTCATTGCTATTCCCTTTCCTACCAAAATTTAAACAATGTACCTGATTTCGATGAGAACACAATTATTTGTAAGGGAAATAAATAGCAAACATGTCTACGACAATTTTCCAAATTGTAAATTCCTAGAAGGTTACACATTAAAAACATTTATTTAATGAATATTTATAATAAATAATTGTGACACAAAAGAGCATTTTTTTCTACAAGTGTAAGACAATCTTCTTTTAGAAGATAAAACTGACTCTGCTCTTTTTTTTTTCCCCCTCTAAAGGAATTATAAACATTAGGTAATTGTTTGTAGAGGTGATTTCTCTTATAGGTTTAAATACTCATAGGTCACCTGGCCTGAGGCGCAAGCTTTATAGGAGTGATTCTTAGCTTGATTAGTTAAGACTTTTGCCTCAGGGAAAACCAGTCACCAAAGAGTTACTTGTCCCTCAAGGGGTATAAATACTACAGCTGTTTGTGTAACTGTCAGATCCATTTTTTCTGCGAACACTCTAAAATAAGTGCAAAGGAAACTAATCCTAAAAAGAAATGTTAGATGAGTCTACCTTAATGAAGAAACAATTTATACATAAGTGATTTGTTCTGAAAAGAGATAAATAATTTCAGTAATTGAAAGAAACTGTTACAAAGTTTACTGACTTTTAAGAAAACAGCAAACAAAAAGACAAAATCTGATGCCAAAGATGTAGGGAGACTAAATAAAGCTATCTTTACAGACACATTCTTAATGTGTGAAACAAAACTAAGGGCTGGGTGAGAGAAACCAACTAGAAAATATGCACAGAATGACCAACACTTGTTTCAACATACTTCTAGGACTCTTTCAACACTATGGATTATCTCAAACCAGAGGAATGTCTGCTATGGTCTCTGGACCAATGCCAGCCCTTGTTATAAAGCAAAGAACACTTCAAGAGAATATCTTGAGTCCTTGCTTTGCAATGTGACAAGTGAGGTATTCAAATTAAAGACTTAGGATGAGAACCAACAGCGGTAGCTAACATTTCAGGAAACCGAATAATTCCAGATAACGTAATTGAAGAAAGATTCAGAACGTCACATAGCATAATTCTGGGGGTTGTCTTTAAGGTATATTAGCCCTCCTAGAGAGATACAGATAATTAGGCTGGCCTAGCCTAATATCTCAAATACCTATTTTTTTCTTTAAAGGTACTCTTTTAATGCAGAGCAACATTTTTAAACTGCGGATTATGGCCCACAAGTGTCTCATGAAATCAATCATGTAGACCACAACTAGCATTGTTTTTAAAAAGAAAAATGACTAGTCTAGACTAGCCTAGAATAGAAAGTATCAGTCTGGTTCACATACACACAAAAGTGTTTGGTGAAATTTTGGTTTCGGGGGTGGGGTGGTGTGGGGGTGGTGTGTATGTGTGTGTGTGTGTGTGTGTGTGTGTGTGTGTGTGTGTGTGTGTGTAGGCATGATGCAAAATGTCTTCCTTATTGTGGGCCTGACTAACTTTGAAGCCCATCGCAAGAGTGTCTACATTCCACACGTTGTAACGCAGAGGAAAGGGGCCTGTCTGCCATCTCCTCTTAGGTCACTGGCACTATAAACCGTTGTATAAATACATTACTACTCTTCTGAAGGGGGCACAGAGAAGTCTCGGGGTGTGGGGGCTGCCTCCACTAACTAACCCTAAACGCAGAATCACTGCAGCAGAGTAAGGGAAGGGAAGGAGAAATAGAAAGGAGGTATTTTTCTTCCACTCCCGTCTTCTACAGACTCATACAAGTTCTGTGTTCTCTCACTCACAAATTGGATTTATTACTTTGAGAGTGAGGAAACATCAAGAAATAATAATAACTTGAATATCACTAACAGCTTTATTCCAAAACATTTAAGGAATAGGGAGGGAAAAAAAGAACCAACAAGCACTGATAGGAACTATTATTGATATATCAAAAATGAATGGGCATTTATTTGAATTCAAGTGGTATGTGTATTTCCCAGGGCACAAAACACTCATGTTAAAAATCTTATCTAATGAAGCCATGAGTTGCTAATATTATGACTTCATGATCCTGAAGTCTACAAGTATTGAATCAACCTAGTGAATATTTTCAATTTAAATTAACTCTGCTCTAAACATATATTTTCAAAACACTGCATGTCTTGGAAGGAACAAAAATAAAATACTAACATAACAAATAAATTGTTTAATGAGAAAATTCTTTCCTTTATAAACTGAGACATCAAACTAGCATCTCAATTCAAAAGCAGAAACGCTCACCTCTGCCTTCGTTCATCATCCTTTAAAACTTCATAAATGGCCACCAACTAAAACAGAAACATTACTTTAAAATAAGAATACTCTGAACTGTAAGAAATCACTTAGAAAGGTGAACATGCAAATATGCACATGCAGAAAACCCTATGTGCTCATAAAATACAATGAACAGATAAAATCTTAATTATAAGTAACGCTTTATGTTTTCAGTAGCACCTTCAGAGGTTAAAAATGCTTGACACCAAAATAAATCTTTGTGAAAGATGCAGAAGTAATAATTATCTTAAAATGTGCTTTTTAAAAGCAAAAGCTGCAATTTAGACAAGAAAATTATGACAATTAGGACCCTCCAAGAATTTAGAGATTCTAATATAAAAAATGTTAGTAAAAACAGATTTTGTAAAAAAGTGAATAAACACATATACATTATACTTCTAAACTACACTTTCATTTTCAAATGGAAATATTCTACGTATAAGTTACTACATATAAGTTACATTTATAAATTTGTCACAAAATATAACAGCAGATTTCACTTACTTGTCTAAATTGAGTTTCTGCATTTTCATCTTTATTCTTGTCTGGATGCAAAGTTAATGAAAGCTTACGATATGCTTTTCTAATGTCTGCAGATGAAGCATCCTGGAGGTGATGGGGGGAAGGGAAAAACACAAAGCAAACTTTGTCAGAAAAAGAAATTCCCAGAACCTTGTTAAGATCTGAGAAGACAGCCAACCAAGTGCAGGACCCCAGGCAATGTAATTTGAGCAATCAGTCTAACAACCAGGCTGTGCAACTGGCCTGCCCCACATGACTGAACAATTATTCAATCTAATTTGGCTCTCCTCTTAACTTTTCATTACCATACAGTCATTTAGAGAAGACAGTATTTGGCAAAACTTTTCAAACACTTGCCTTTCTAAAATTAACCAATAAATCTTTTTCAGTAATTAAGAGATCAAAAAGAAACAAATTAAAAATTAATACATCTGCGTGCCTTCAAAGGTTGTTATTTGTTTGAGAAACTTAAAGCCAGTTTCTGAAGCCCAGGCCTACCATATGTGGTTTCTTCATTGTTATTTATATTGAATTTACCATCAAGCAACAACCTATGGAATCTTAAGTTCACATGTCAAAAGTATGCTTTTTTTAAGACAGTTAAATTTGCATTTATCCAAACTAATTATATTTAAAAGTAGTTATGTATATTGTACTTAACACTTTTTTAGCACTGTAAAGGGTGTTTTCAGTAGTATACAGTTTCCACAGTTTGCTTTGCAGAAATAAATTTTCCACTGTTTATGTATTACTCATACTGTTTAAATGTATTTAAAAAGTCACAATAGTTCAGTAAGAGAACCTCGGATTAAGTGGACATTAAAATTACATTTTATGTAATCCTGTGTGCACAGGTAAACTCAGAGAACATCATTTTACATGGCCATTATGAAATATAATAACAAATAATAATCAAATACAATAACAAAGAACATACTATCAAGTTGGGTTTAAAACTTTATAAGTTTGAAAGTTATTCCAATAACTAACATAATCACAGTGGGGCAAAATGATAATAAAGTTGCTTATTAAATTTAATCTCATTTTATAGCTGTATATTTCTCCAGTTAACTCCTAAAACTACTTTACTGAAGTTTCAAATGACTAAAACACCAAAACAAAACAAAAATCTGTATAACTAGGACTAAATAGCTGTTAAAGAAATAGAGCTGAAAAGAGGCAAAGTAAGACTATAATTAGTCTGTCAAGCTTTCCTTTTATAAACCATTATTTTCAGTACCAATTTTCTAGAGCTTACTGCTACAGGCTATCAACTGACTTAAAAGATTCAACTTAGGTGTGAATATCTTTGTGACTTGTGGAGGGCTGAGGAGCTGTAAAATTAGCAGAGTAAATTTTGTGGGTAATATGGTAATAATTTTCATTCTAATTTGCTAAATAGAGTTGATGTATTCCCTATATTTATATAATAGGTAACATGCAGAAGGATGATTATACTGAAAATCTGTGATGGAAATTTTGTTGAGCAAAGGGGTCAAGTGTCAAATGAATAATCATTCTTTCTTTAGGACTTTAATTTTAGATTTTATTAAATTGGGACTGTATCATAAAGAAATTCCAAAAGTAAATTTCTTACAAAATAAGAGCTTATGCATTTTTTTGAGTTACATAATTATGGAACATCTATGACTTACTTAAAAATAAATATGACTAATAGTCACCCAAGGCATTTCCCTTCTTCTGGTCTTGCCATGCTGACCCCAATCCTCCATTCTTCTGCCACAGTATGTACCCTAAATGTAAACGTGACCAGATGGTTCTCCTATTTCAAACCCTTCAGTAACTCCCAAGTGCCTTCATCACCTGTCTTTTCCAATCTTTTTAGCTTTATCTCCCACCATCTTGGTCCATCTTCCCAGTCCCCCAGATCATTACACATTATGAGGCTGTCTCCCAACCTTGTTTTGCACCACTCAGGTGTAGATAGTTTCCTCCTGAGTAAGGAATGAGCCTCTCAGGCTACCCACAAATAATGCCTTCCTATTTTCTTCTTGAGAATCTGTCCAGTAGGGTTCTTTCACCAATAAGCGCCATCGTAAGTGGACTTAACTGAAAAACTCAAAGATTTCCCTATCTACAAAGACATGTTCTAGACCAGGGGTCGGCAAACTTTTGAGACGGAAAAACCACCAGGGCTCAGCAAACTGCGGCTCACAAACTGTGGCTCTGAAGGAAAATGGAAAACTAGCATAGTTTCATTTATAAAATTTTTAAAGGGTATTCACATAATGAGTATTTAAAAATATATTTTTGGCTCTTGAATAATTTTTACATTGTTGTGAGGGACAGGATTGGCTCTTCCAGGGGTTGGCAAACTTTTGAGATGGAACGTACCCAAAGAGCCGCATGAGGCTGGCGAGCCAGTTTGCCGACCCATGATCTAGACAAGCTGCATCTCAAAGCAGTTCATGTATGAATTTAATTTTAGTTAATTACTTAGTGAAACTTAATTTATCCTCATAACAAAGTTATAAGATAAGAATAGTTATTATTAGGCCCATTGTACTGGTGAGGTGAGGCAGAGAGAGGTTAAATAACTTGCGTAAGTTTATATTGCTGGTAAATAGATGAAAATAGTATTCAGACCCAGAAAACGTTGCATCAGCATCAGAGCTCTCTGTGTTGGCTCTTTAGATTCGGTTAGTAGATTTGGGCTGAGTCACTTCAGAAGGGGCTACAGCTTTGGGAAGGCAGTGAGAGCAACTGTTACATTTTTATTGACCTGATAAACTATATGGAAAGCATTCACATAACAACAATGTGAATGTGGTCAACTGCATTTCTAAAGGGTAAGACCATGATATGCATTACCTTTTCTAACACATTTTACGTCATATTTCTACTAGAGACTTAAATGTTAGAACATTTATCTCCCATACTCAGTGGATTAGGCCTTTTATCTCTCTGGTTTGCAGAGAACTGATTTTGATAGGGCTATAGGTAGACTGGCCTTGTTTAACTCTGGACATCAAGAGATCTACTGGGTTCAATTGCCAGAAGTCTTTTCCTTCTAAATTGGATATGGTTCTTGGGCAAGCTGGACAAGAACTATCTTACTACTTGTATAACCTTCATAAAGAAGAGACATGTGGTCATGCTTTAAAAAAACAAAAACAAACAAAAACTATGAAAGTATATGTGTTTATCAAAGTTGAAACAATGCAATGGGAGGCGCATCAGCAAAAACAGAAGAGTAGGGAACTCCAAGGGCCTGTCCATGCACAGAAACAGCAAATAATCTAGCAAAGACAGTCCAAATCAACCTTATCCGAACTCTGCAAATGAGTCAAATGTTTACAGCAATCAGGCAAGCACATAATCAAGAAAAAGGTAGCTGATTCTCAGTTACGGCCTTGAAGATGCCAATCTGAATTCTTGGTGTGGGTTCTGAGTGCTGGGGAAAGCCAAGTGAACTTTGTTCTCAAAGAATTGTGGTTGTTTGTATGGCCTGTCTGTTGGTTTCCTGACAAACTGTGTAAAGGACTACCCTCATCTTACCAAACACAGAATGCTTCCAGGAAAAAGAGGCAACCATCCAGGACATTTGTCAAAAACATTTAAAAGCAAATTTATTAGCTGGTGCCAATGAGACAAGGGATTGCAGTTGGGGCACATAATAGACACATCAAAAAGCTTGGGACCAAAGATTGGGGAGTGAGGTGCTTTGGGAATATGGGCTTTGAAAAGCTCCCACATATTCCTTGGAAACCAGAAGAACATGTGAGTGTCCAAGGTGGAATATTTCAGGCTCAGGAAGACTTGAGAGGGCCCTAAATTCTCACTAGTGGGTGGTCCTCAGGCTTGAACAAGGAGAACATGAAGGCTAAGGGACAGCTGTAAACTACTTAGCTGAGTGTTGAAGGCATGCCCCAGCATATACACAGAATCCACTAGCAAAGACTGTAAGGTTCCCCTACCCCTCTACCCCCCCCCTCTTTTTTTTTCTGGTTCCAAACCTTTAAGGAAGTATCTGTTAAATCCTTAGCTGGCCACTAAGTTTAGGAAATGGAGATGTCAGTGACCACACAAAGAACATACACTTCACAAATTTAGTTTAGAAAAGTCACTAGACAAAAACAGCACCAACCAAAGAAACAAACAAAAAATGCTTGTGATGTGGGAGAATCTGGTAACACATTATATATTCGAAATGACCAGTATTCATTAAAAATTATAAAGCATGCAAAGAAACAAGGAAATACAGCCCACACATGGGGAAAAAACAAATTAATAGAAATTGCCCCTGAGGAAGCCCAGATATATAACTTACTGGAAAATACTTCATATCAACTATTTTAAATATGTTCAAGAGCTCATACAAAAAAAAAAGAAAGTATGAGAATAAGTCTCACCATCTGAGAATATCGACAGAGACAGAATTTTTAAAAGGAGCCCAAAAAAAATTCGGGAATTGAAAAACACAACAACTGAAATAAAATAATTTTCTAAAGGAAGTACTAAAACAAATTTGATCAGGCAGAGGAATGTATAAAATTGAAGATAAGTCAACTGAATTATTCAATATGAGTAGCAGCAAGAAGAATAAAGAAAAATGAACAAATTCTAAGAGACACCTGTGGGACACCACCAAGGTACTAACACTTACATAATAGCAATCCAAGATGGAGAAGAGAAAAAAGAACAGAAAAACATATTTGAATAAAAAAAGGGTGGAAAACATCCAAAATTTGATGAAAGACATGAATATACACATCTGATAATCTCAAAACTCCTAAATACGGTAAACTCAACAAAACCTAAATAGGACAAACTCAAAGAGGAACATTTTAACCAAATTGTTGAAAGAGAAAGACAAAAAGAGAGTATCATGAAAGCAGCAAGAGAAGCAACTCATTATGTACAAGCAATTCTCAATAATATTAACAGCTAATTTCTCATCAGAAATATGGAGGCTAAAAGTTACTGGAATGGCATAAAGTGTGAAATAAGTGCATAAACCAAGAATTCTATATTCAGTAAAACTATCCCTCAAAAGTGAAAATTAAGATATTCCAACTAAAATTGAGAGTTCATTGCTAGTAGGCTTGCTCTACAAGAAATGC